TTTTATTTGTTGTTGTTTGGAAAATTACACACTTTGGGTGTAATTAGTTAATTTTCTTAGATATATGTAATTTGTTTAGATTAGGATTATTCTGAGCTTAAAACAGGTCAAGATCATCCAAAGGATCAAGTTTGGACCCCAAAAGATCAAGGAAAGTGCAAGGGGACAAGATAAAAAGAAGATTGAAAAAATATTTCATATACCCGGTCGGGTATAGGTAATACCCGATCGGGTATTGAGTTGATTCGGGTGTCAAAATCAGAATCTGGAGAGACAAAAGAACGTGCAGGATTTTGACTTTTTGGCTCATACTCGACCGGGTATGCCTATATACCCGACCGGGTATGTCTAGAAAAGTGATTTTCCGGGAAACTGCCTAAAATACCCGATTGGGTACCCTGTTTACCCGATCGGGTACACAACCCTGCCACCTCCAAACACCTATAAATACACCCCTTTTCCTTCACAATGAAGGCACCAATTCCTATATACTCTTAAGCTCAGTTTAGAATAACATTTCTTTATATTTATCTAGTATGTTTAGTCTCCAAATGAGGAGCTAAACTTCCATTTCTTGGTGTTGCTCTTGAAGCTTGTTGATTATTAAAGTTGTGAGTTATTTTCTTAACTTCTTTCCTTGAATATTAATTCTTCCTTTAAATACTATTTCTATATCAATGTTGGGGAGTGTTACTAAGATGAAAATTAGTTAACATCTTGACATTGGTCTTAGTAATAACTATTCCTTCATCTATGTTAATATTGGGGAGTGTTACTAAGATGACAATTAGTTAACATCTTGATATTAACTATAGTAGGATTCATCTCCTTTAATATTCTTCCTTGAGTATTAATTAATTCCTATTCATATTTCATACTAATATTTTGAACATTACTTAAAAGATCAATTAGTTTTGTTTCATATATTAATTATTACTAGAAACGATCAATGAACCGACGGTTAATCGTTGATGGTTTCACAAGTAAGTAACTTCGGTTTATTAATGCACGGTCGTGGTTAATAAACTTAAGAGGGATTAATTTTGTTGGTTAAACCGAAACCGTTGTGTTGAGGTTATCAATCTCAATTGATTTCATCAAGGAGTTAAGAGATTAAATGCTACTATCAAGTTGGTATATGGCGGTGTTCTATACTTGACTAATAGTAAGTGTTATTAATGAACGGTCGTTGTTAATAGCTAACCTCGATGAATTGGATATACTCCTCGATTGAGTATTCGAGAGGGAACAAGTCAATGAAGTCATAGATATAACAACGATCGACTAAAATATATCAACAAGTGGAAAGTAGCAATGCCAAGTCCCTTTTATCTTTGAATTAAATCACATATAAGTCGTTCATCTTCGTGTTTAATTAATTAAATTCCAACAATACCAAACCCCCCCTTTTTCACTAGTTCATAAAAAGAGAATTATTCCTTTCCCTGTGGATACGAACTCTACTTCACTATACTACGTATTAGTGCTAGTATTGATATTATTTTGACGCACCGTGACAAAATGTACGTCACTCACCATAGAGTTACAGTCATAGTTGTTGGAGTTTTAGTTGGTGTCAGTCTTATTTTCCCTTTGCTTGATGTAATGATCCTGAATCTTTTGATATGAATAGAGGCCTGTTTTGATGATAAAAAAAGAATTTCCTTTAGAAGAAGAAACCCCTTAGCTTCTGGTTGCTTCAGATTAGGGCTGGGGAAAAAAATCCCGACTCCCGACTCCCGATCCCGACAATCCCGATAATCCCGATCCCGACATCCCGACATTATATATATATATATATATATATATATATATATATATATAGAGAGAGAGAGAGAGAGAGAGAGAGAGAGAGAGAGAGAGAGAGTAATGATCCGGTCAGGAGCTCCTGACCGGAACCGCCGTCCGGACCAAGGCGTTTGGCTGCCTTCCCGGTGTCTTTTTTTGATAAAATATTTATGACATGTTCTCCATCAAGTCTAGTTTATCCACAAAAACATTCAGCCAAAAAATCAATCGGGAAGGTCGTCAAATGATTTTTTCAAGTTAACTGGTCCGGAATATGTAGTTTCCGGACCAGTTAACTTGCAAAAATCATTTGACGACCTTCCCGGTTGATTTTTTGGCTGAATTTTTTTGTGGATAAACTAGACTTGATGGAGAACATGTCATAAAAATTTCATCAAAAAAAGCCACCGGGAAGGCGTCCAAACGTCTTGGTCCGGACGGCGGTTCCGGTCAAGAGCTCCTGACCTGAACATTTGTGTGTATATATATATATATATATACACACATGTATATAATTATATATGAATATATAAAAAATGAATATACATTTATTAAAAATGAATATGTATCTAAATATTTGCATATCTTTTTTAAATACTTATTCCTTACATAGATTAATCTTTTACTACGAGTATTTTACAATATCGAACTTCTAAAACTATTCGGCATTTGTCCGAAAATGAATATCTGGGATCCTAACTAAATAGAGATTATTCTTGATCCCGACAATCTAATTCACAACAATATTACAAATTTTGTGTTTCTGATGAACCCTTTAAAATTATGATCGAAACTAATATTTCTTTCTTTAGTAAATAATCATATTATGTATTTATACATTATATTCATTGGTCACAAAGTTTCTCAATGAGTCTACTTTGTTTTGAATTTTAAATAATATACGTTACACATCCTTCTTTTAGTGATTTTTATAAAATGTTTGAAGTAAGTTTCACTAAGCCTTGATAGCTTATTCAAAAATTATACTATTAATTAATTGAAGTTACAAATAAAAATTATTCTAAAAGTATGTACTAGTGTGAATTTGAGAGGATAATTATTACAATAAACTTTATAAGTAGATGATGATAAATATGGTATAACAATGAACAAAGAATAAATTTGAAAACGCTAAATATCAAAGTTAGTGTTTAACTAAACAAATTACATAATTTTATGTTTGATACTTCATTGTCGGGATTTAGCGGGATTAAGCGGGATTCCCGATTGGGATCCCGACTTAATCGGGATTTTAATGTCGGGATCCCGACTTAATCGGGACGGGATACGGGATCCTCTTGTAGATTGAATCGTGATCAGGATGGGATCGGGATTTGGGCAATCAGGATCGGGATCCCGATCCCGGCCACCCCTACTTCAAGATAATTTAAATTTATATATGGTTCTTTGCTGCTCCGCCAGGGCCGGTCTTGGGGCATGGGCAGGAGGGGCATGCGCCCAGGGCCCTTTGCTCCAGTAGGGCCCATAAATTTCTCAAATATGTGTGTGTGTTTGTGTACATCACTATTTTTATTATATGTACATCCTAAATCTATGAAAGGTAAAATATAAAATCAAACTTATATTTTTTAGATACTTATAATTAATTATTCAGCATCTACACGATACAAGTCTATAATTTTGAAACATTCACATTAGAATTCATTGAGAACATATTTCACCATTTCACATTATAATTACGGATTATTGCATTAATTTTATTCTTTTAGTGTACATGTCTTATATATATCCAGAACTTATTGATATATTTCACAAATTTCCTCCGATTCTCTCATTTAGTGAAAGATTGAACTTTAGTGTCCATAATTTAGAAACGTAGAATTTGTTTTTGTCTAGTGAAAATGTGATCTAAAATATGAAAAAGTTACTCCTAATTATACAAGATATAATTTCACAGCTTTCCTTAATTTAAAATGTTTATTGCACCTAATAGTTGCACTACTTGTTTCACTCGGCTCTTAGGTACATTGTATCCTCAAATGTCACTTATCAAATACCCTATATATTTTCTAACCATGTGCTTTGTTAGTTTTTTTGATGTGTTATACTACTTTTGGACGGTAAAATTGTATAATTTTAAATTATAGATTATTATAGCAAAAAGAACATTATAAACATCCCCCTATCCTTGAGGCCCAGTCTATTTGTATTGTCCCGGGCCCATAAAATGTCAGGACCGGGCCTGCAGCTCCGCATATATGCGTGCACCATAAGTCATTCAATAAGTGAGTTGGAAAATCAAAGGACGAAGCTAGGCTTTATTTTGATTTCATCATCTGACGTTTGGTCAAATTATTATCAAAACTCGGGGTTGAAAACATGTTTGGCACATATAAGTCCTTACTTTCTAGATGATAAAAAAAAAGTCCTTACTTTCTAGTTTTTGTACTCCATCCGTCTCGCTAGAAGGTTCCCGTTGACGGTTTACGATGCTTGACTGATGATAAAGCAACTTAATCCCAGTTCACACTGTGATTATTTTTAGTAAATAAAATTTACATATTCAGAAACTACATTAAAACCGCTATAAAGCCTGATAAAGAAATGTAAATTTGATAAAAATTTGATATATAAAGTAAAAGATTAAAAATAATTTAAGTTGACCATGTGAGTAGTGGACGAGAACCTTCTAATGGAACGTAGGTAGTACTATTTAAAAAGTTTCTAAAAGCTTCTAACTGAAGTTTGGCATGACATTTTTTAAGAGTTTTTAAAAAATAAAAGATATATTTTGAGATGCTACAATTAGTAGCATGCGAGAAAAGATTGTAGCTTTTAACATTAATTAGTCCCAAGAGCTTGTACGTCAAACAGAACTAAATGAAACAGTCACTCTTTTATCAAACAAAAAGAGTGACTCTTTTAATTAGTCCCACTTTTTTAAGATATTTTCAATCATTCAAAACTAACAATTACGGAGTACTAAAAATAGTCAACAAGAAATTAAGGAATGTCTATTTCCCAAGAAAAGCTAATTAAAATTAAATTCTTCAAATATAGTCAACAAGAAATTAAATTCTTCGTCTAAGAATAAAGGCGAGCACAACATAAAATTAAGGAATGTCTATTTCCCAAGAAAAGCTAATTAAAATTAATTTTCAATTGGAGAATGTGTGTACGAGTGTGCGTATTTGATTCTTTTGCATGTGTATAAGAACCTAAAGTCGCAGGTAACATTTATTTCCTTCCCAAATTAAAACGAGTTCTAGTTCTATTCAAAGGAAAGCTCTGATCAAGCTAGAGCTACACAAACCAATAAATTAAACGAAAGATCAAATTAAGGTATGCGTTCAAACCAGCAGAAACCGTTGCAGTCAAAGAAACAGTTTGAAGATCAGTTACAGGCACAGTTTGAAGAATGTGAAGTAAAGCATAGAGACGAGAAAGATGGGCAGCACATTATTGAGTTTCATGTACCACCAGGTACTATCTATAGAAATTGCTTCAAATAGGACTAAAACTATGGTAAAAACTCAAAATAGGACTTGCTATGTTTTTTATTCCAAAATAGGACCATAGTGGTCCTACTGGAAACATACTCATTTCTTCCTTCCATTCTTACCCCTTTTTTAAATATTAGTAAAAGATAGCTAAAAGTCATAATTAAGTGTTTAATTCATAATAAATTCGAAAAAATTTCAATAATTCGTAGAAAAATAATAAAAAAATTAATAAAATTTTTATAAAATAAAAAAATAAGAAAAAAAAAAATTTAACTTTTTTTTTGAAAATTAATAAAAAATATTAAAACTCCTTAAAAAAATTAAAAAAAATATGGATACCTTTCCCACCGCCTGTACTACCTCCCTGAACCACCACCTCCGATCGGTGTAAAAAATGCCACTTTTTTTTTAAAAAATTCCACAAAAATGACATATTTCTCTGTGAGAATGCCAACATTTTCATTCTGCCAACTTGAATCCTTTTGACTTTTGCCAAAAATATGGCATTCATAATTTTTTTGGTATTTTTTTACCCCGGTGACAGGAGGTGGTGGTACCGCCTCCCTACACCACCACCTCCGACCGTTAAAAAAATGCCATATTTCCTACAAACTTCCATTTTTTTCGGAAAATGCCAAAAATATGGCATATTTCTCTTTGACAATGCCAACATTTTTTTTCTTCCATCTTAAATCATTCTGAATTATGCCAAAAATATGGAATTCATAATAAATTTGGCATTTTTTCCCCAAATGACTAGAGGTGGTGGTGCTGGGGCGGCAGTTACAAAAAAAATTTTAATTTTTTTTTTGAATTTTTTTGAATTTTTTTTAATTTTTTTAATTTTTCTATTTTTATTTGATTTTTTTTTTAATTTTTTTTTAAATTCATTATAATTCAAAATATTTTTTATTAATTTTTTGGTATATTTTACGAATTATTATTATTTTTTATTATTTTATTATGAATTAAAACATTCCAATAGGTATAAGGGTATATTTGTCCAAGACACACATAATTAGTCCTATGGAAACATAGTTTATTTTTTTGTCTTATTTGTGCAAAGTGAATGACTTTTGGTCCTATTTTGATAATTAACTCTACTATCTATCATCTTCACCTCCCATAGTCACATTTTGGTATTGTTGCATTTTGGTACATTAATTTTTAAATGAATCAAATCGGTACCATAATTATGCATAAATGTTTTCAATTCACAATATTATTCAAATTTCCGATAAAAAAATCATACTTGGCGGCCGATATTCTATGCGTAAAGTCCATTTCACCTTACTTTTGTCCATGTCATCACTATAGGGTGGACTCTACACATTGGATTTTGATCGCCATATAGGACTTTTTGGCTGTCTATTTGAATAATATTGTGAATTGAAACATTTGTGCATAGTTATGATATCAATTTGATTCATTTAAGAGTTAAGGTACCAAAACGCAACAATATGAATATATAGTTAAGGTATCGTTTATGCATTTCACTCCATATTTTCCGAAAATATTTTCAAATAATAATGACGTTCTTAACTCCCTTTGCGCGACAAAAAGAAACAAGTTTGTATTGTTATTTCAAACGAACATAATTAAGGTCCATCACAAATTCTATTAATACCCGTCTTTATGATATGCAAACTATATGAAAACGTTTTTTTGTTAACGTAGTATCACAAAAAATATACTATCGTATTCCGTAAAGTTTACACAAAGTTTGTTATCATTGATTGATTATTTGAAAATATTTTCAAATAATAATGACGTTCTTAACTCCCTTTGCGCGACAAAAAGAAACAAGTTTGTATTGTTATTTCAAACGAACATAATTAAGGTCCATCACAAATTCTATTAATACCCGTCTTTATGATATGCAAACTATATGAAAACGTTTTTTTGTTAACGTAGTATCACAAAAAATATACTATCGTATTCCGTAAAGTTTACACAAAGTTTGTTATCATTGATTGATTAAAGTCGTTAATTGATTAAGTTATACTCCGTACGTTAAGTCGTTACGTTAATTAGATATAGTAAACACCTTTAATCTCGCTTAGCTTGTATTTAAAACGTACGTAGTACTAGTATAATTTACTTTGCTCAGCTGAGAGGTACGTACACTTCACAACCTATAAAGTCATCATGTAATATTTTCCGACTTTTTAGCTTTTCCAAGAATACGAGTTTTCTACCAAAATAAATTTCATTCTTTTCTTTTTCATCCTTCCCAAATTCCAAAATAAATTCTTTCTTCCTTTTTTTGCAAACAATTTGTGGTTCCCAATATTTTTCTGCCCTTTCTCTCTCATCTGAATAATTTAGAGCCACACAATTCTCACTTTTTTAAACTTCTTTACAAAGTTAAAATAAGAGTTTATTATGGAAAAATTTATCCTTTTTTTTAAATAAAAATATTTATCTCTTTTATGACTAAAAGAAACTATGTTTCCCGATATATGACTCCATGAGTTTTTCCCCTATTATGATACGGAGTACTTAAATACGGTGCATGGTCATTTCCGTTTTTCTTAATTTTTTTTTAATTTCACTGTTACCTCAATTCTAACAAGTAACTAATTCATCCTAAAAATATGGAAATGATTTAAATGAAAAGTGATTTGCATGATCAGTTAGAAAATTTAGTATTTCTAGTCATACCATGGTAAAAAGCACCGTTAATCATATTATAGGAATTCACATGAGTTTTAGTAATATATAAATAAATTTCTCTTTATTATGAGACACAGAGATCAGAGAAAAGAGTACTCCCTCCGTTCTTTTTTATTAGTCCTCTCAGGATTTGACACGAGTTTTAATAACAAATAAAGTAGTAGGGTAAGTATAGAGTGTGTAGGGTAAATGATAAAGTAGGAAATATGATATACGAAGTATTAAAAAGAGTAAAGTGATGATAAAGTAGGAAAGAGAAATTAGTTTGTAAAAAGTAAGTGGGGTAAAAGTAATAAAAGTGAGAGTATTTTCTCAATAACTTTACTTAAAGGGAAAGGAAGGACAAATAAAAAAACGTCCCAAAAAGCAAATAAGGACTAATAAAAAAGAACGGGGCGAGTAAATTTTACCATGTGGAAATATAGCCACCGCTTGTACTCACTTTTATATTCACCCATTGTGAGAATCTATTTTTGTGTTTATGAATCATGTTCATAGACAAAACAGAAAATGTTCACAAACAAAACCTGTCTATTTTTTTTGTATGTAAACGGGATTCACATGCAAGAAAATAGTCACTCACGGCAATGGGTATAAGGGACGGGTACAAATAATAAATACGAGTAGTAAAGTTAAACTTTGAATGTGTGTGGTGTTGTGCAGGAACTACGAAGGAACAGATAAAGTTAAAGATGGTCAGAAATGAATTGATTAGGGTCGAATGGACGCCGAAAGGGGTAACGGAGCCCTTTAAGAGAATTCTATCCACTCTTCAAAATTATGACCATAACAAAATTACAGCAATTTTTGAAAAAGGCGTTCTCCGTATCACTCTACAACATAAAATACCACCGCCGGCTGCTGCCATTGTACAAGATCCACCGCAACCCGCACAGGTAAGTACTATTTGTTGACGGAAATTTTCCCTAAAAATTATGTGGAATTTCAAAATACGAATGCTATATTTTTTCTATTAAAATTGAAGTAAATTACTATTTTCTTGGAATAATACTACCATATTTTGACATAATTCCGGTACTCAATACGTAGTTCTAATTAAAAGGAAAAACATAATTAAAGGCCTCATATTTTTTAAAATGGGTGAAAAATTCAATATTACCAAAAAAGTGAAATGCAAAATTAAATTCCCAACCATTAATATAATGTTTTTATGGATCAATCAAAATATTATAATTAAACAATTAAGGGGTGTTTGGAACCGATTTTGATTCGGCTTCTTTTTTAAAGAAGAAGCAGAATCAGAATCAGTTTTCAGAAGCTGGTGTCCCCCAGCTTCTAAAAAAACTGATTCTAGGAGTAAATTAGAGCACCAGAATCATTTATGCATTTCCACCCAAACACTCCAAAATTCTACTTTAAGGAGCATAAGCAGTTTTAAGAATCAGATCCAAACACCCCTAAAATATAAATAAATGAGGAAACACTTGTGTGGATGACTAATCCATTGATTCTCCACATGCAGAGCGCTCATACAAGTGACCAAAATGATGAAACTGTTAAAAGAGGAGTTGAGAAGGAGAGTGGCGCCGGCGGCAGCGGCGGCCTTGAAGATGTAGGTACGAAAAGCAAAAGTACCCGTGAAGAAGAAGAAAGCCGCCATACCGGAATTCCGACGGCGGCAACCATGACGACGACAGAAGTAGCCGGTTATAGTAGTGCAGCAGCAACTTATTATGAAGTGGCAAAAGAGCTGATAAGGACTCACCGACAGGAAATATTGAATGTGGCCGTGGGTTTGGCGATACTTGGCATTAGCATGTATTTCATACCCGGCCGCCGCCGCCATGATTAGATTCATCGATACGGTGGAAGCTTTGGCGAGCCTAGCTATTTAATATCATCTGAGGAATTAAAGCTAGTTATGATTCAACATAACGTACTTTAAAACATACGTATAAATTGTAAGCGAATAAATTTAATTACCAGGCCAGCCAATTCAACTGTATATATACGCAATACGCATGTGAATAATGTCATTCGATCATTTTATTCGATAAAAGAGATGATCCAATATAAATTGCAATTTGTATATTTATTTATGAGCACATTATCAATCTTATAATTGGTTGAAAGGTGTTCCTGCACATGAGTAGTGTATTGCTATCTTCCAAAATCGAAACAACCTCTCTGCAAATTAGTAATACTCCCTCATACTCTGTAGTCCACTTTGATCATTAATTAATATATATAAGTAGTATTTAATTATCTATGAGTAAAAAAGGTAAACAAAATTAATTTAGCAATACGGAGTAATACATTAATAAATAAAATGAAGTCAAAGTAAAATACGCGCGTGAATAGTGTAAACTTCAACATGTTGCAATTATTTAAGAACGGAGGGAGCATTACTTTCTGCATGAATTAATATCATTTTTTATCATGGTATTAGAGCCATAATTATGAAAACAAAATACATACACTTATATATTTCTCTCCCACAAAATATTCTTTTCCTCCGAGAGCCATGACGGTTGATGATGTGGTCAAGATCGACTAATGACAATACAACCGAGGACATAGTTCTAGTCATAGATGATATGTCACCAAATTTTATTCACTCTGGAGATAAGCTCTGGGATGTGAACGTCAAGACGACTCTCCGTGATGTAAACTATGGAGATTGGCTCGACGGGATGAGCACGTTCTTTATGCGAATACAAAATTTGGCTTCGCGAATAGTGATATCCCAATATATATGTAAACTCGGCGACTCACCTAAATTTCCATTTTGGTAACGAGCGAATTGGCATGAGAATAGTAGCATGAGTATTGAAGTTAGACAAAGTGTGAAGTTCGAAATGGAATGAGAAATATAGATTGACCTGAAAGAGAGATTCGGGAAGGAGAGTGCTCCACGCCTCCACAAGCCTATAAGCTTTGATGTTCCCTTAATAGATCAGACAAAACGAGCAGTTCATTTTTGTCTATACCTACAACCTACTTCATTCAACTACATCACATATGAGATGAAATAATGTCCTCTATCAACGTTAGACTAACCTCACTTGTGGTGGTTATTCACACAATATCTCTAAATAGGTAACCGAATCTCGAGATAGGGGTCGACTTTATGATTTCTTGATGGGTCATGATTTTTATGGGCACTTAGAGCAACTCCAATGCTTGGGGTGAATTGTGGTTGATGTGGCAAAAATATGGACTTGGTCTATTTAGTATGTGGGCCAAATATTTATAAATTGAGAGGGTCTATTAACCTATGACTCCAATGCAAGGTATATGTAAAAAGGAAAAAGAATTAAATAAAAAGGTAAAAGAAAATAAGTGGTCAATAATGCATATGATCCACAATCATTACTTTAATATTGGGAGAGGGTGGCACCGAAGGTCTATATTGAGACCTTGTACAAGACATTGTCCATTTTTTGCTCTTGCCAACTCATCTAGACTAGACCCAAATTTTTTTGCATTGGAGAGGAGATTTTGATTAAGAAGGTCTATTTGATGATGTGGAAGTGAAATTGACCATGGCATTGGAGATGCCCTTAGAAATCCAAATCTTTGCCATGAGGCCGGTTCCTACACTCACCACCGTACCGCATACCATCTTATTTCGGAAACTGAACTAATACTGGTTCACTAGGTCCGCCCACAAGCCAACGGTTGATGGAACATGCAACATTTCACACGTACACAATCATTTTCGGCCGCCGCTCATGCTCGAAGGATGGCAGGAGTTGCATGATGCTATTAGTTTTTGATTGTTTATGTTTTTACTTTTAATTAGGTTTTATTGTTTGTTGTTGTAATAATTGCATATTTATGTTGCAACTGTTTATTTTCCTAGTTAGTCGTATTTTGTTTAGATTACGTATTCTGAGCAAGGATCAACCAAAGGATTAGGAATGGACCTCAAAGGTTACAAAAAGTGCAAGGAAACAAGAGAATATGAGGAATTGCAATTTTGTTCATATACTCCGTCAGCTATATATATGCAATAGCCGCTCGGGTATTGACTTGATTCAGGTGTCAAAATTATAAAATTTGGAGAACAAGTGAACTTGTAAGGATATTTGATAATAATTTGTCTTATACTCGATCGGATGACCCGACATACCAGATCGAGCTGCAGACGAGGACGAGAGGAGTTCTGGATCTGATACCACTGTCAGGTTTTCACCTCTCCAGCTCAGACCACGCTCAAACAGCTCACACCAAGCACCAACGGGAAGGGACAGTCACACTCAGGCCAGCCCAGCCATCTCAACGCACACCATGGTCAAAGGGAGGAAGCTCTGAGAGATATCGCGCACAAAGGAACTGAAGGAGAAGAGACTGGGAGTCTCTCTCTCTAACCTCACTCTCTTTATCTCTAACCAAAGACCTCAAGCCCCAAATGAGCACACAAGAGGGTTTAAGTACTGAGGGTCAAGGGGGAACCCTCTTTTAGGGTTCCAGAACACGGGTTAGGGAAACACTACTACAGAATAGGTATATTACGTCGGTTATTTTACACATTTTACGTCGGTTTTCAAAGGGTCGTCTAAGTAAGAGACGTTATAGGTAGGAACATATAACGTCGGTTTGCGAACCGTCGTAAAAAACACTCTATAATGTCGGTTTTTTTGTATAACCGACGTAAAAGATTTTAAATTAATAATAAATAAATGATTTTTGACGTCGGTTTTCAGACGTAACCGACGTTAAATATTCTTTTAGAAAACCATACTACGTCAGTTTTTCTTGATAACCGTCGTTAAAACCCCTCAGCAAATTTAAAAAAAAAAATCTGTTAAGCTGGCCGGTTTTCTAATGCCAGCCAACATTAGAAGTAAAATGCGTAGTATAACTCAAAGATTTACCTTCCTTTATTTAAAATACCCTTGGAACAAATTTATCACAATATCATTACATCTTGTTTGATAAGAATGAGAAGATGAGCGTATTAACTAGATACAAATTAGTATCTGTATCAATCATTAATACTATAACTTCATTACATCATGTTGATCAAATACGTGTCATTAGTGATATACTACTACAGCTTCTTTGAATGGCCCAACTTCTTGAAACAAAGGCAATAACAGTAACCTTGATATACATCTTTCCATCCAAGAATCAGACTGAACAACCCTTGCAAGCCAAAGCAAAAGATGAATTTTATTTACCTGAAAGTCATCACAATATATTAGAACAATTTAGAACAAATGCACTCAAATAACAGTTCATTAACTTTTTTGCTGCAAAAGAAATTAACCATCAAATCCACAAAATAAGAGCACAGGTCTGATGAGCAAGGTAGAGGTGATGAGAAAATTGTGTTATTTGATCACTTGAAATCTTGAATGCCTGCTTTTCTACCAAGGCCCTAATGTAAACTTGTATTGTTTTCTTGGTACTTTCTTTTCAATGATTTAGAAAATGGACAAAGTAGATACTCTTACAACATAAACCACCAGTCAGTCAATACTTTCTTTTACTTCTTTGAACTTAACTCTGTATAATATGTCACTTTTATCCCTGCACACAATCAGAAGTCAGAATTTAGCTGAAAGCATAGTCATCTTATTACTTTTCCGTTACTAATAACACCATTCAGAACCTTAAGAAACTAAAGCATTTAGTTTATATGCATTATCATGAAATCCAGCAAGCTACACATTGAAAACCAAGTGAATCCAAGAAAGTTAGTGATAAATTTATTGCAGTTCAATCAATCCACTTGGGTCCCTCCACGAAAGACTTTGACACTCTATATGTATGAAAAAAACAGAATATGATGGAGTACTCCCTTGTTCTCAAATAAGGGTTCATTAACTAAAAGGATTATGTAAAACAAATAACTCTTGATTCAACCAGACCAAAAGATACAACATAGCAAAGTAACATATTGGGAACTAGTGCTAGAATGAGTGTGGTTAATTAGAATTTAGAAGATAAGTGAGATTTGGGGGGTCAGTTTATAAAATGAAGGATTCCAGTGTGTTACCCATTAGTCTGTACAATGAAATGTCTGGAGAAAGCGATAGACCAGCAAACACATGCAGCCTGTTTAAAATATGAATGGTCTTCTTAAATTAAAAGCAGCCCGCAACAGCTTGTATCTTGATCTAGCCTCCACACAAAGTCGCCATGAACCAGTATATATTTGTTTCTCTAGCTATCTGTACAACTTTAAACATGAATCGAGGATGTAGTGCCACCATTATTATAAGAAAAATCGTGAGCCAGTAATTAGGCACCATTACAGATTCTGTACACTTAGCTAATGCATAAGATAAAAACAACCTTAGCTGTTGAATGTGAACCTTAGCTGCAACCTTAAACTCGATCTTCCCTGCAGCGGTCCAGAGTCATCCAGCTATTCTAACTCATCCTTGCACACTTTTGCTATATATAGCAATACTGGTCATGACAGTTTTACCTCTTCCTATGTAAGAGTAGTAACAAATAAATTTCTTTTTTGGTCATCCCTCGCCTGTTTGATATTACTGATATAAGAAAACTTGGGAAACTAATATTATTAGACAATTATTCATGTTGGGTGCTAATATAATCAACTGGAATGACCCTGAACATATACCACCTGCTTCTACAAATCAAAATATCAGGAACTAAACTAACCATATTTTTCGAAAAACTAAGATTTGGGTGGTACATATTCTGATGTGTCCTTAAATTAAGGTAAAACCCTATATTTCAAAAAAGTAATTCTTATTCCTGAAATTCAATTACATAAGAATAGGGATAGAAAAAATACTTGAGATAGAAGAAACTGTAGAGGTCGAGCGACTAAAAGTATAGAGATCGTCTTGATTCTGGAAACCGATACATCGATCGTACAACTCATTTGGCGGATGTAGACCGACCAGGTGAGTAGCCAGTAGGGATGCAGCCTTCCAAGATGCCTAAACTGCAGCCCGCCTTCTGGAGACCGATTCGGTGAGTAGGGATGCAGCTCAGTGGACCGCTCGTCGGGACTTTACGGGAGACTAGCATCTCATACATCGCCGTCCTGTAATCGAAAAGGCCAGCTAGAAGAAATCTGATGGATAAATTGAGAATAGGACTTACCAGTTCTCGCAGAGCATCGATCGAGTTTCGTCTGATGAGAGAAGACAGAGGTAGACGAAGAAGTCGCGCGCGGAGAGAAGAGGTCAAGGCGTCTAGGGTTTGTCAATTCTTTGTATGGAGCAC